ACAGTAGTGCAGCGTCAACCAGAATGTTAAGACCCTGAACAAGGCAGGCCGTGCCTTCCGAAGTATTGGTAACAAAAAATTCAATCGATCGATCGATCAATCTTACTTTATTTCACACTATATAAGGCATTTAAACAAGTGTACGTAAGTGGGAGAACAAAGTAGTTGATAAATAATCATTGAGTTATATTGATTTCCCGACTGTAAAATCAGCCTTTCTTCTTTTGATCGATACCATAACGACCTTTTCTAGTTGAGCCAGACGCTAACACGTAGATATCACACCGCTTAGAGCTTTTTTCGGTAGCATTTTCCGACTGAGTAATCTCGCCACAGAAGCATTGGAAGGGGGTGAACGAAGCGCCGGCATGGTCCTCTCTTTCTTTCCTTTCAATTCGTTCCTTTTTTTTTCCCACCTCTCCGAAAACCCTCTTCAAGATCCGAGCTTTGGATACTCCGCCCAAACCCCTATCGAAAGAGTTACAGCTAAATTGCAAGTATAATAGATATAAAATAGTTACGGCTGCCGATGCTTTGTCGCTTACAATAATATTTTTATATTAAAGTTAAGATAACAAACCAAAAAGGTATATATATATCAAAAGAATGTCGCGCATTTGCGTTAAAATGATTAAAATTAATCCTGTTCCCATCACCAAACTTTACACTTCTTGACGGGATTCATTGGACTATTTAGAGGACACTGAAAGGCTTCGGAGAATTCCTCTGAATTTGCAACTGCTGCGAGAACCCTACAAAAGGAAAAAGGAAAAAAAACAAACAAACAAGAAGTCCATAAACTAGACCGAATTAGCTACATTCAACCTGAACACGCATTTCCAAATTTTCTATTTTTTACGTTCTAAGTTTTTAATGTCACTGTGTAATTTTTATAGTAACACGACCACATCCAAACCCTGCTGCCTTGTAGTAATGAGAATAATTTAAAATGATCAATCCAGCAAAGAAGCAAGCGAGTTAAGAAGAATGTTTCCCCCGACCTCTGATTTCTGGACTGAACTCAAGCCGTCCTTCTTCTTCGAATACAACTTGAGGAAGGATAGCTTGACTGTCGTACCACCCATGCCCTCTGATATTGATTTAGTTGCTTTATATTTGCAGGATTTATTTGGTAATTTTAGTTGTTTTATGTGACGTTTATTTGGAGTAATTTTGGCGGTGGAATTTTCCATTCAGTAAAAAGTACTTTTACCAAAATCTGAAAGTTAAGCACTTTCTTAATGTAACTGTATGGGTTTATTGAATTATCAAGTGCTTGCAGAAAGCTAAACTGAAAAACAATTTAAAAACGCTCCGGATCAACCTCATCCTAGGGCTTTTCCCTTAGAAAACAGGACGATAAATGGGAGAAGCCCTGGGGAAGAGTTTGGCTGCGGATATCTAGTATATTGCTACACTCACGCCAGGTTATTCGGTGTGTTATTTGCGGTTAAAATATCAGCTTAAGCCAGCAAAATAGAAAAAAAAAGAAACAAAAAAAGACTCCATTCTCTATCACTGCAAAAAAAAAAAAACATTATCCAAGAAGATACTGCCGAGTAGAGAAAAAAAAGCTGTTCTGCAATTTATCGACTTTCAAATAAACTATAAGAATAAAGACACTTGACAATACAGGGGCACCCAACGAGGATATAGTTCAAAACCACTTAACATAGCATTGTTGAACGTATTTTAGTATTTAAACGGTAGATATAGGCATATTTTCATCCCCTAAAAACTTTTCATCTGTTCGGATTTCCTAGCTGAAAGTCTAGTGATCCGAAAATTATAGGGATAAAAACTTACCTTCTCGAAAATTTCAGCTAGGAAAAGGCTCCCGAAAATTCTAGGGAGCCTTTTTTAGGGTCAAAATCCGTTAAAAATGGGTAATTATACCATTTTGTAGATAGATGTTCGAAAATCCTAGGAGAGGCAGGTAAGCAAGAAATTTTACAACAGATGTTTCGAAAATTCTAGACTTCAAATCGTCCTCCGAACAGATAATTTCCGAAAAGTGCCGTTGGGTGCCTCTGACAATACAAATTTGGTAGCGTCAAGGTATGTTAAAGAGTGAGAGACGTGCGTCGCTCAAAAACGTCGCTGCAACCAGGTCGATGCTTGGGTGGAGCATTTCATTCTAATCACCCCAAGCCCGGAGCTGGTCTCTTTGCTCATAGGAATGAGGGAACAGGACCCAGACAAAACAAAAAAAATCAGCCGCGTCAACTTACCTTACTTTCTCAGGACTGTGTACATCAGTTAACAGAGCATGCTGAGCTCGTCCGTCGGACGTCGCCGAGCACCAAACCTGCAGGAAAAAAACAAAGCGCTTTAAATCAGGTTTTTAAGAATGGTTGTGTTCTTAAACGTAATTTGCTGAACCGAGCTCAATATAACACGTATTCACTCTATCTGAGGCCTTGTCCGCACTAATGAGTTTTCGTTTAAAAACGCATACATTTAGATGCGTTTAGGCCTTCCTCCCACACTAATACGCTGAGCGTTTTCATCTAAAACGCACCGATTTGAAAACGCTGTTGCAAGTGGATCAAAACGAAAACGCATACATGTTGTATTAGTGTGGACGGTCGAAAACGCATCAAAATGAAAATGATTACCAAAAATAACGCAGGTGCGTTTTTTTGTAGCATGCGCATAGAGTTCAGCTTACGTCACAGCGTGCAATTCTATCGGTTTAGCGTGGACAGTCGAAAACGGATCAAAAGGGTAGTGTGGACGCAAATCGGTCGATACTTTTTCGATAACAACGAAAACTCATACTTTTGAAAACGCATTAGTGTGGACAGGGCCTGAACATATGTATGTTTTGTTTACTCTAATTAGCCTGCGGTGGACGCGTTTTTCTTCTCAAGTGAGAGAGCGCTCTGTATTCCCAGTGTGTGGTGGCCATCTTTGCTATTGAAATCAGAGGAATATAGAGGAGGGAGTGAAAGGGCGAACAATGGGAGGGGTGGTTAAGGCTATAAAATACCTTCCCTCTTTGACTGGTTCTCGACAAAATAAGCACTACCAGGAAATGGCTGCAGTACATGCCACGTCCTTATGAGATTCTTAGTTCAAGATGACAATCTATAACGTTATCAGTGTAAATGTATTCTTTCCCACATCAAAGAACCATAAGATCCGACCGGATGGCAACGGAACGAAAAAGGCTAAAAGCAATAGGTTTAGATCAGCAAAACAACAACTTTGCACGTGCATCACACTCTTGGCACATTTCGTTGCCGTCGTTTCACGACTACGACTTTAAAAAACTTCCTAATTCATGATTTTCTCTTTCTTTTTCTGAGCTTGGATGAGTCCTTGAGAATTCAACTTCAGAAATATTCACAACCAACTGACAAATTGAAATTGAAAAAGCGCGAACTCATTTTTTATGCGACGTTTTCACCGCCTTCGCCTTCGTTTTTGCTTAAGCTTCCTATTTTTAATCACAGACGGAGAAACATATGCGTCTTACTAACATGGTAACCCTTTGGAGCTCAGCTTGGTGTCATAACTTTGCTCCTTAAAGAAAAAAAGCGCGTCTTGAATTGCGCAAAAGATGTATGACCCATACCTGTGCAAAGCCAAGGAAAAATAGCTGTTCGGGCGTGAAGTCTAATCCTGGAAGTTTTAATTCTTTGCTGTTGTTCCTCACCCAGTCTTGGTATGCCTGTAGTATCAAATCAGACACCAGATAATAAGCTCTTAGCACTCACATCTTTTTACGACTACACCGAAAATCTGGTTTCTTAGAGAGGTCTGTTGTAAAAAGCAGTTTGTCACTAAATCACCGGTTATAGCTTATTTCAGTGGAAACCCATGAACACGAACAGCGCTACATCATGAAAATCCTGGCCTTAGTAACAAGGTAGTTGCATTCGCCACTTGAGCAACGAGAAGGCAACTGGAGCCGAAATGCGTCCCGCTATTGTTTCTGGGATCGACGGGCCGGTCAGCTATTGGCTAATTTTTTTTCCTTGTCTATTGTAACGGTGCAAGTTAACGTGCCCCAGTTTCCTTTCGTTTTTAAATTGGAAAATTAACAAGGAACAAGAGAGAATGTTTCAGCCTGCCTTTATCAAAAGTGTTGAAAATTGTCGAGCGCATAGTTTTTGACAACGTAAGTTTATGAAACGGAGAGAGGAGGAAAAGACGTTTGCCAGAAGAAAGAGTGCGCTTTTTCTCCCTTAGCGACTCCTCTGTCCTTGCCACGTCGCTGATATGGTCTTCCCTAAGCCTTAGCAGGGTACGATGATCTTTGTCTCGTTCTAGCAAACTTACTGCGTATGCAAGCTTTAGTCCACCATTGTCCGCTATGTTTTCGCCAAGTGTTTGCTTGCCATTAACCTGCCACGAGACCAAACAGGAAATTAAGTCTGTCTATATTTTATAGTTAACGAAAATAGAAAATTTCATCATTTTCTTTCATTTATCATCTATTAGTCTATTGAAGCTCCTTAAATGCTACCTCAAACATGATCCCTCCTCTATTTTAACTAATTTACTAGTTTACTTATAAATTAACAAATAATTTAAAAGTTCTTGCAAGTGGAGTATATCTCAAATGTAAAGAAAAGTAAAATAAATAAATAAATAGATAAATAAAGGAAAAATAGAGGACGAAAGGAAGGGAAGTCGACAATGACTCTGTTATTAATATTAGTTCATAAGTCTCTCTTACGTTCGTTCCTGCGACACTGAAGTTGGCATATTGATTAACCATGCACGAAGCATGTCGCTGAAAGGCCTCCACGGACTGATTGTTCCACCAGCTGGCCAGGTTACCATGCTCGTCAAACAGGCGACCTGAAGTTAGTACAAAATAGTGATTACTTTTCTATATTTTATCCCTTAAATAATACCCAATCGATAAAAGAATGTCTTAAAGATAGAAAAAGCGTTGCAGAGCAGCAAAAATTGCACGTTTATGAGTCAGTGAGTCAGTCCCTTACCTCGATCGTCAAATCCATGAGTTAGTTCATGTCCCATTACCACACCAAGAGCACCGTAATTCACTGACCTGGAAAGAGGATTTACATGTAATGCCCCATCGACATCAACTAAACATACTAAATTAAACCAGGTTTCAAAAAATGAAAATCCAGCACGGAAAACTGGAATACTGGTTTCAAACAGGATTCAAACAAAATTCAAAATGTTTTGTAATTTGCACTAAATGTGCAATCAAAAATTTTATCCGTGTTCAACTAAACAGCCTTCAAACATGTTTAAGCTTTGGTGTGAATGGGGCTAAGTTCTTAATCGGCGCTCTCACATTCTGGTTAGAAAGCATGTAAAAGTAATGACACTTCATACTCACTGGGGAAAGTCAGGGTCGAAAAATGGCCGCTGCAGAATACCGGACGGAAACGCTGTGTAAACAACGAGAAGAATTAGGAACCTCATCAGCTAGGGAGAGATTAAGTTGAGTTAAAACTATCTGTTATTTAGAGGATAGTTAATAGAATGGAATCAGGTTATGAAGCCTGTCAGATTCCTTTGTGACATGTTTTTGTGGACCCGACTTTTGTGATCTAATTGACCAATAAAGACGTCGCATTAATCGATCCAGTAATGATGACTAGGTGATGCGAATTAGCAAATTTATCCGCCAAAGGATGCAAGATTGATATAACCCCAATTTCTCTAAACTCATGTACACTAAAATGTATAGCAGCCAGAAATGGAGGAGTTGAGGGTTAAAAGGTAACAAACCTATATAGTTGTTAGGAGAATTGTAGTACGCATTGACGTCAGCAGGACTCATGTGCCACCTGGTGATAAAATGATAAATTTAATAATAGAAAAGATCTGTTAATGATAATGAGGCATGATTTTGGTGAAGATCACGATGATGATTATTGAGAACATAACTATGGCATAATATGGGGATCGATGTAACAAACAATGTTTCAAAAATGTCAAATACTACATACATACAAACTTCATTCAAGTGTCAAAATCTTCTAGCATGCCTAAGGAGGCCTATTAATCGGGGACACTTAAATATGCTTTTATTGAAAGGGATGAGGAAGGACGCTTTTCCATTCGTTTAACGTGGATGCTGCAGAAAGTGCAAAAACATCAGTAAGGATACTTAGGAGGCAAGAGAAGAATAACTTACAATACTGCAAAAATTTACCATATGTTTCTATTAAGTACTTACTCTTGTCTGTCGACAGGCTTTCCTCGTCTAATCATAGACTTGTTATGAAAAAACCTTCTTGCCTCCAGATAATTTTCAAAACTAGTTTCAGCACCAATTGTTAGCTGCCAAAAGAACGTAAGTCATTTGATGCGTATACTGTACCCTTATCAAGCCTCAGAATCTTTCTAGTCATGCCTCAGAATGTTTCTAGTCATGAATAGATAAAGATTGAGGCGAACAGTGTTTTTCAAAATTATGGAAAAATTGAAAATATTGGATTTGGGGGGTTGTTAAAATTTGAAGGGAGTAATGAACCGTAGACAAATGCCAGAAGTCTACCACCAAACAAGGTGGCTCTCAGCTCATCTCCTTCTCAAATCAACTTCAGCCGAGCTACGAACAACGGAGAGCAAGCATGCTCAGTTCTAGTACTGCTGACTGGTACTGGTGCAGAATGTCTCTTAACTAATCGCTGCAGATTAGAGACTCACATTTTCGTAGTACTTGTCAAGCTTTTCCAAATCTTCAATCCACCTTGGATAGCCTATCATGTCAAAAGTGGCAATAACCTGAAATACGAAATCGCAAAAACGTTATCCTTTGTCAGCTCTGATCTTAGTGTTTTCAATTAGCAGATCATAAGAACGTCTTTCTTGACATAGTTTGTCTTTTGGGTCTTTTGGTAGCCTGCGAGCAAGCTCCCAATTCACGCAAGAGCTGCGCGTGAAAGGAGACGGGATTGCGAGGGTGGTAGCTTCGCGACTCGCTCGCGCGATCTCTCGCGGCACGCGTTGGTTGTTTGCTAAACTGGATGTGGTTATCACAAACCTGCCAGAGGTGGACATGATACTTTCACTGAACCCTCTTCTTAGCCTTTTCAATTCGATCGTTTAAAAGAATTACTCTATTCAGATCATATGTGAAAAGAGAGTCTAATTTCTTCTAATGATGTATAAGAACCCAAGCTCAGATCATCTCCTTTACTGTAATCAAGATCTCAAAGTCAGTTGTAACCTGTACCTTCTTTAGAGCCTTGCCTTTGGTTTCTTCGTCCATCCACTCCACGTGCGGGAGGTTTGTTATGAACGCTTTCTTTATCCCCGCTATCATGTCTTCCGCCTACTCAAAAATATAATTGGTGCGGAAAAGAATGTGAAAGAATTAAAATTCTACAGATAACCACCGTCGGCGTAATCACCATTCATATATCATCATAATCATCATCATCACCACCACCACCACCATCATCATCATCATTATCATTATCATCACGGAGGTCTGTCGTCATCATCTTTGATCACCTTTATATTTATCGTCGTCGTCACTGTAATTGCGAAATTGCATCACTAAATTGCATGGGTCCACGAGCGATGACATTATTTAGCCCATCTTAAACTCAATCTATCCCTTGGACCTGGAGGAGATTCGTGGAATAGCTCCTCTTAAACCAAGGTACGCCTTTATAAGGGAGATTTCTTACCTCATTCGTAGTTGCAACAAATTGATAGTTCATATTCACTTGAACAGATTACAGCCGAGACGGAAGTTGAGCCTCATTTATTTATTTTAAAAGAGCATTGTGTATAGTATGAGCAAATAAAAGGGAAATAGTAAAACATTTTGACATCAAAATCACCTCTTTCTTGGCGTTTTTGCCAGATTGCTCCTTGATGAACAAGTATCCAGTAGCAAACCCCATGACTGAGTTAGTTTTTGTGACACATGTCTTCCAGGGCGGCGCACCTCCTTCTACGCCTTTCTCGACTTTTAAAAGTTCCAATGATGCGTCACGGAATGGTTTGGACAGCTCGCCTATCAGAGGCTTAATTAAATGCCACACCATGTAATTTGCGAGTATTCTACGAGAGTTAAACAAAATGATCAACTAGCTTCAATAGAAGTTGTTGTCCTAGAACATTAGATCGTCTATTCTCTCGAGCATTGCTACACCCAGGCTATCTGCCTCAAGTTATTGATCATGGAATTTTTCCTTGTGATAAATCAACGCCGCGATATCTAAAAAGCTTTGGCAAACAATTTTTTCAACCAATTAGGACTTAGTAGGCTCATTCCCACTCGGGTGGAAAGCTGGAAAGGACAAAGGGTCGTACTTAGCTTATTAAAACAAACTGAATACACGGCTGGAGTCTGGCTCAAGCATCTCTACATTAGAGATGAGGCAAGACCAACTCAGAAAGTTTTATTTACGCGTCAGGTGGATCACCTTACTCAAAGGTTTTAGTAGACAGTAGTAGAGCAGTAGAGCTGAAAGATTATATCGTCCGGAAATCCTTTATGTAATGTATTCTCATCAAATTTGCCCCAGGAGCGCCTGGAAAAGAGTCTGATGGCTTGGAGAGTTAAAATCCCTTGCTACGTTTCATTGGAGTTGCATCATTTACTGCTCTTAGGTATAGATCTTTTTATTATTATTATTATTATTATCATTATTATTATTACTGTTATTATTACTATTATTATTATTATTATTATTATTATTATTATTATTTTGTACCCGACACGGAAAGACTCTGTTTTACCATATCCTTCTTACATTCATTTTCTTATTAAATTTGCAACTGCGTTACCTTCTATCCGTCATAATGACAAGGTTTGACATGTTCTTCAGGTATTCTGGAGTGTAAACCACCACGTACTCTTCATGTGTTACAGGGCTGCTGAACATCGTGTTCATGTAATCCAACCACGAAATCTAAAAAACAAGTGTCACGTAAAATGAAGTCAGATGTGAGCAACAATTTCAATTCTGATTGTGTAAACGATTCCAAACAAGAAGCTCAAGTCAAAGGCCTGCCTTTGCACATATGCTACGATTTCACGACCACCTCTCTCTAACAAGACCTTTCTTTGTTTTTACAATATTCAAAACAGAAACTCTCATTAATATCCGGAGGTGTCCTTTCCAAGAAAGAAATTCTGCACCTTTCAGAGTTGCTACAGATACATGCATAGCACACCCTTCTTTATCTCTCTCTACTCTTTCTCATTCTTTCAAAATGATTCCAGAGTGACACACCCACTCTTCGAGAGGTAACAAGGGGTGTGGCTCTTAACTACAGTCAAACCTCGCTTTACGGACGCCCGCTTCATACGGACACCTCATTAATTACGGACAATTTGTTTTGTCCCAGGGTAAGAAACCCCTTACATTTCCTCTAAATCCATCAGGCTTAATACGGACACCCTGTTTATACGGTCACTGTCTACGGCCCCCTCAGTGTCCGTATTAACGAGGTTTGACTGTATATGAAGATTCTAATTCATACATCAGGTCGGGAGGCAACCCCCCCCCCCTTCCCGATAGCCTGCATGGCGTGGAAGGCGTCGAAATAAAAAAATGGGAGAAAGGGAAAACGGAGAGAGGATTTTCCCTTTCGTGTTTTTCTCGTCCTTCCCCTTCCCAGTTTTTACGCCTGACATGCAGGCTAACCTCTGACCGCACGCTCTACAGCAGCACCAATCTCTTGCCAGGACGCTGGGGACGAAGTTGCAGCCGCACTGCCATGTTCAAGGTAGCTGGTCAGAAAGCTGATCATAAGAATGGTCCCATTAATATTTTTTCTCTAAAAACCCCTAGTTTGAGCTATCGTCAGAATCTCATCATCAGCCTTGCAATGCGCATTTTCTTACCGCAGGTGCTAGTTGTTGAAGATCAGCAACGGTTATCTTGTGGTAAATCTCCTCCATGTTTCTAAGGCGCTCTTTTGGTTCGTAAATCTCGGCCAGTTTCTTTTCAAATTGAAACACTTCCTCCATCTGGGCGCGTGTTGCATTCAGTTCTCCACCCAGGAGTGTGCCCACTTTGACCATAAATTCTTTGTACGCTTGCAGGACCTACATTGATAAGATGGTTGGTTGCAATTGAAAAGAGGACATTTTTTGGAGAATGGATTCATGTTTTGAGAAGAAAGCAAAAACGATGGTGACATATTAGATTACCTTGTCCGATTCATTTCTGTAGTAATAATCTCGGTCAGATAATGTGATTCCTGCTTGTTGAATCTACGAGATAAAACAACGTTGTTCAATAGGACCCTTGTCGGCTTATAGTAACAAAGCTAATTCTTATAATTAAGATATGGTCGTCGCAGTTAATATTAATAGCAATTTAAGCAACTAAAAATTAAACCAGCAAAAAATATTCGGGGTTTCAATAGCCTTTGCACTAGTCGGTGCCTGCTCTACCAACTGAGCTATGATGACCTATACATTGGGTGCAGGCCATTTTTTTGAGTTTATCTTAACCCTGAAAAGAATGAAACATAGAATGAAGATGATGTAAGTCGCGGAAATACAAAGTACGGGGAGTGGTGTTTTCATTCCTATCAAAATCTAACCTTGGCTAGCTAAGCGCGCGTGTGTAAACCAACCATGTAAATGAAGAAACGTTTCCGTACTTTACCTGTATGATATTCTGGCTTGAATTACGATCATCCGCAGAAACAAACATATAAAACAGAGGCATACTCTTCAGTTTGTGAATTTTGCTCAACGCTTGCTCGAAATTCCAAGACTCCGGAGACCAAGCCCCCGCATCTGACACGTTGTCGTTCATGGCCCACGAACCAACAACTTGGATAAGATTTCTCAGGGGCTCGGAACCTCGACTTTCAACTATGCTTTTATTCATGCAAGCTGAGAAGTAGTCTTTAACTTTGGCGAACATTGCCGCAGTTTCATTTCCACCTAGGTGCGTTTGTTCAAAGACTTTCTTCAAAATAATGAGATTGTTGTCTGAAACTTGGTGAAATGCTGTCCATTTTGAACTACCCGGGGGAGTAAAGCTTTTTCTAACCCAGTTTCCACAAGCGTAACCATAAAAATCTTCACATGGGTCGACTCTTTCATCCACATGATTCAAAATATTGTACGCTGCAGCTACACAGCCTTGATTTTCGCAAATAACATTACGATATCTGCTACTTCCAAATATTAGTGGTATGTCATATTGTTTATATATTAGAACAGAAGCTAACGAAATGGTTATCACAACGAAGATTATCAGGACTAATGTCAAAACTTTTTCAAGAGAAGTCCAGTAAGCGCGGTGCTTTCGTTTCGCTGTGGCGTAATCCCTTTCGAGTTGTGCAAGCCATTCATCATCGCTATCGTCGCTAGCTGTGTGTAAAGCTTTCTTTAGCTCGTCTGCGTGATTGTTCGGTTCTCCATACTCAAATTGGCGAAGTTTCGACCATCGTATATCCGTTGACCATGTAGAGGTCATAACGAGCGTTGTTTGTCCTTGACTCCTTTTAAAGAAAACAATTAATCACCCTAGAGAAAAGTCTTGGCGGTTTGGTGTAGTATTTAAGTCGTTCTCATTTAAAATTTTATCGTAGACTGACTGAAGACCAAAGCAAAGCTAAAACGTAACAGAGCGCTTCTTGATCAGTTCGAGGTGATGCGACCGTCACGGTCAGATTGGCTGAGCGGATTAGATCAGAGCCACTGGAGGTGAAAATACTTGGCAACTGGATAAGGATTTTTGGCGAAATTTTAAAGGTTCAGGTTAATGGATTGCAAATCGATCAGACAGTTTCCTTTCATCTGTCCTTTGTAGATCTTTAATAAAATGCAAAGCAGTGATTGGTCGAGAAAACAAAACGCATAGAATAGTTAAGGTGACGGGAGTATTTACTACCAGCAAAGCAACAGGTCATCTATTGACACTGAAAAAAGATCTCCATGTCTCCAAAAAAGGAATTGGTCGTTCCGCAAGATAAAGATTAAAAAAACCACTCGCACGCCATATAAAGCGGGTTTTCGGCTAATACCGGTCAATTAAAAGTTACTACATTTAAGGGTGAACTCGTCCTGAAATGTAATTAATCCATGGCCATACTTGACTGTTCCAGTACCGTTGTTTATTTTTAGTCAAGTTCATTTTCTTTGTTTCTTCCTCTTTTGTAAACTTTAAGCTTTTCTTTTCTTTCAGCTTTTTAATCACTTTCAACAGTAAGTTTTCCTAGTTGGTTTAGCAAAGAGAATCTCCATTATTTGTGAATTTAATGAAGTTTATGTGTAACATGTCAAACTGTTTCCGTTTGAGTAAATGTTGAGTCAAATCAATTCTTATGTGACCTGTTTGCTTTGTTTTTGAAGCAAGGTTTTCTTGTTAAAGTAAGGAAAGTTTCTTGCAGTTCTGATTCTTTAAGGTCTGTGTTTGTTCTCACAATTATTTTACCCTAAGCTCTTGTATCATATCAACGTTGTGCGAATAAGGAAGAATGACTGCCTATTAAATAAGTATATCATCTACATTTACATACCCTTCGAACAAAANTTTCTTTCAGCTTTTTAATCACTTTCAACAGTAAGTTTTCCTAGTTGGTTTAGCAAAGAGAATCTCCATTATTTGTGAATTTAATGAAGTTTATGTGTAACATGTCAAACTGTTTCCGTTTGAGTAAATGTTGAGTCAAATCAATTCTTATGTGACCTGTTTGCTTTGTTTTTGAAGCAAGGTTTTCTTGTTAAAGTAAGGAAAGTTTCTTGCAGTTCTGATTCTTTAAGGTCTGTGTTTGTTCTCACAATTATTTTACCCTAAGCTCTTGTATCATATCAACGTTGTGCGAATAAGGAAGAATGACTGCCTATTAAATAAGTATATCATCTACATTTACATACCCTTCGAACAAAAATGCAGCTTAGCAATCCTAGCTTACCAATGCAGACGCGTATGTCCGGTAGTCGCTTGGGCTATACCCGGGGGGGGGGGAGGTACTGCCATATGTGGGCTATATAGGTATGTGCTGCCGTGAAGGTTATGGTTTTCAAGCAGTTTGCTCTAGGATAGGGTATATAAATCAGAGCGTTTGGGTCTAGACCAGGGTATAATTTTTCAGGAAACTGTTGAGTTGGTTGAAGATTTTATATAGACTAGGGATTGTGGTATAAGGTTTTGTTTTGGCTAGACTGTGCTAGTGACCTCAGTAGTGTCTGGAAAACAGCTACTCTAGGATAGGAAGGACTTGGAGGGTTCCAGGGTCCCAGCGGCACATCCCCACCCAGAAATTCCTAAAGTAACCCCCCCCCGGGGGGGGGGGCTATACCAATCCCTTTCAAAAGGTGCCTTTTTGAAGTAAGTAAGTCTTTTAGTCTTTTAAATGTCTGTACTCGCTTTATCGTCATAAGTGGTTCCAACATGGAGACAAATCACCCAATCAATGATTTTCCTGGTTCATTAGAACGGGTTAGGATAACTGAAACTTGGCGCCAATATTACACACTAGCTATGGGCTTCATTCTCTGTTTTATTATGGTAGCAAGGTATGGAGTTCCGTTCCAAACAATGATAGAGCTATTATTTAAATTGGCCATTTCTAGTTTCAAATTTGATAATGACTGCGGAGGATTTTGGAGTTAATCTTATCAAATTTTCAGTCTGAATCAGAGTGAGTTGATCAATTACTTTTTCATATTCTGTAATTTAATTATTACGTCTACCATTAATATTTATTTCTTATTTTATTTTTATTATCTAATATTTATAATATTCATTATTTTTTATTATATAGCTATTTGTCCTCGAAGATATTAACATTTTATTGCCGTCGATCTTTAACTCGAGTAGAAATAAAGATTGATTGATTGACTGATTGATTGATTGAGGCTTTCAGGTTCCATTCTTGGTGACTCAGGGAAAGCCTTGTCTTACAATTCAGAATATAGGATCAGAATATCAGTAACTACTTACTGATAATATTAATATTGTCTGAAACTCGTTTTGGACGACAAGCGTGTTGTGCGTGCAACACTCGTGTAATTCCCCGATCACCCGATTCACGCAACCCCTATGGGTGATACCCGCTGAAAATGCACCAAATTACGCGGGCATCACCCGCTGAATTACGTACTATAGTACGGGCAATATGGCGGTCCATAGGCTACAAACAAACATATAAAACAGAGGCATACTCTTCAGTTTGTGAATTTTGCTCAACGCTTGCTCGAAATTCCAAGACTCCGGAGACCAAGCCCCCGCATCTGACACGTTGTCGTTCATGGCCCACGAACCAACAACTTGGATAAGATTTCTCAGGGGCTCGGAACCTCGACTTTCAACTATGCTTTTATTCATGCAAGCTGAGAAGTAGTCTTTAACTTTGGCGAACATTGCCGCAGTTTCATTTCCACCTAGGTGCGTTTGTTCAAAGACTTTCTTCAAAATAATGAGATTGTTGTCTGAAACTTGGTGAAATGCTGTCCATTTTGAACTACCCGGGGGAGTAAAGCTTTTTCTAACCCAGTTTCCACAAGCGTAACCATAAAAATCTTCACATGGGTCGACTCTTTCATCCACATGATTCAAAATATTGTACGCTGCAGCTACACAGCCTTGATTTTCGCAAATAACATTACGATATCTGCTACTTCCAAATATTAGTGGTATGTCATATTGTTTATATATTAGAACAGAAGCTAACGAAATGGTTATCACAACGAAGATTATCAGGACTAATGTCAAAACTTTTTCAAGAGAAGTCCAGTAAGCGCGGTGCTTTCGTTTCGCTGTGGCGTAATCCCTTTCGAGTTGTGCAAGCCATTCATCATCGCTATCGTCGCTAGCTGTGTGTAAAGCTTTCTTTAGCTCGTCTGCGTGATTGTTCGGTTCTCCATACTCAAATTGGCGAAGTTTCGACCATCGTATATCCGTTGACCATGTAGAGGTCATAACGAGCGTTGTTTGTCCTTGACTCCTTTTAAAGAAAACAATTAATCACCCTAGAGAAAAGTCTTGGCGGTTTGGTGTAGTATTTAAGTCGTTCTCATTTAAAATTTTATCGTAGACTGACTGAAGACCAAAGCAAAGCTAAAACGTAACAGAGCGCTTCTTGATCAGTTCGAGGTGATGCGACCGTCACGGTCAGATTGGCTGAGCGGATTAGATCAGAGCCACTGGAGGTGAAAATACTTGGCAACTGGATAAGGATTTTTGGCGAAATTTTAAAGGTTCAGGTTAATGGATTGCAAATCGATCAGACAGTTTCCTTTCATCTGTCCTTTGTAGATCTTTAATAAAATGCAAAGCAGTGATTGGTCGAGAAAACAAAACGCATAGAATAGTTAAGGTGACGGGAGTATTTACTACCAGCAAAGCAACAGGTCATCTATTGACACTGAAAAAAGATCTCCATGTCTCCAAAAAAGGAATTGGTCGTTCCGCAAGATAAAGATTAAAAAAACCACTCGCACGCCATATAAAGCGGGTTTTCGGCTAATACCGGTCAATTAAAAGTTACTACATTTAAGGGTGAACTCGTCCTGAAATGTAATTAATCCATGGCCATACTTGACTGTTCCAGTACCGTTGTTTATTTTTAGTCAAGTTCATTTTCTTTGTTTCTTCCTCTTTTGTAAACTTTAAGCTTTTCTTTTCTTTCAGCTTTTTAATCACTTTCAACAGTAAGTTTTCCTAGTTGGTTTAGCAAAGAGAATCTCCATTATTTGTGAATTTAATGAAGTTTATGTGTAACATGTCAAACTGTTTCCG